TGGCACCAATGATAGCGCTGTATAGTAACCTATCTTGGCGACGCCATGGTGCATAGGCAGGATTAGGCTCAGCTATTCCATTGTTGATGATCTCCGCCTCTGGTGTTGATGCCGTTTTTGTTAGAAAGCCGTGGAGCTCATGACCTTCAAGGAGAGCTTGAATTTGTCTGCTCCACATGAGATAATTTGTGTTTGTCAAACGAGTAACGTTAGACATGTTAATGGCAAGAAGTGAATTTGCTGGATTGGTTGGATCATAGATCGCAGTTCTTGTTGCAGTTGTATGAATGCCAGATGTGGCTGATTCAGAAGACATCTTGAATATGTAATTGAATTGCAGAAAAGAGAGAAAAAAAAAAAAAATTAGTGGATCGCAGGAGGCTGTGATACCATATAAGATGTATTGTAATTGCTTCACTTTATTAATCACGTAGAGACTCTTTATATAGAGTTTACAGAGATAACTTGTAGGACAAGATAAGCACAAGTCAACCTTATCTAAGGAATAAGACTTATCTTTCCTAATACATTCGTGATTATCATTCTAATAACATAGTTATCCTAATAAGTTCCTGTAACAATAGCATCAATGCATTTGGCTTTAGGCCAAAGTCGTGAAACTATACCTTGCCAAGATTTCTGTCCGCACTCATTTTCGATTAGAGCTGCCAATTCTGGATTTGGCTCAACAAGGATGGTAAAGACAGAGTCTCTACAACTAAGGTCAGTGATCCACTCGCTGACATGACCAGATCTGATGTTACTAGCCAACTCTTTCCAGTAATTTTCAAGAAAATGGATAACTTGTACCAAGACAGAACCGAACGTAGCACCCACCCTTACAACCTCTTCTCTCTGGACAAGACCACAGAGAAGTTGACAGTACATACTCTGTTTGGTGTCCGGACACAGTATGATCTGGAGGGGGCATGTACTATTTGTTGCCAGGCTCCTATAATATTCACTCTTTGTGAAGCTTGTTAACGCAGGAGCAAGAGGCAAACCACAAGGAGTTGTGGACATTGGGCGAGTGAACGTAAACATAATCACCTTTCCTTGCTTAAAACCGTCGAAATACCTTTAATATTAAAAAGAAAAAAAAAATATCAATCCATTGTTGTCATGAAAGTGTCAAATATATAAAAGAAGGATGCCTGTGGAAATTTACTTGGACATAACGAGAGAGCCTAGGGTATAGATGATTTGAATATTCTCAAAGAAGATCTTGCTCGCAGGAAATATCTTTTGTTTCCCACTTGAAGTTCCAGAGCTATAATATAACCATTATTTACAACACTTTAGATTCTTGTTAAAGAAAAAAAAAAATACAACTCTTTAGAATCATCAAAATTTAAAATCTATTATATGTATTCAGTGATTTACCTTCGAAAAAATGCAGTTATGGGTTCTCCGGAAATGATATCAGAGGGTTCTCCATTTGCAACACGATCGATATAAGGCTTAACATCTTCATAGCTCACCACTGGTACGTTCTTCTTGAACAGTTCTTTATCCGAACTCCCCTGGAGAAACCGTTGGAGGTACTCTGTGTTTGCGTTAGCTTTGAGTATCTTGGTCAATACATCTTCTTGTATTTGCTTCGCTTTTGAGGTTAGCTCTTCTAAAACAATGAGATCACAGCCTAGACTCATATTTGTTCTTCTCATTCACCACCACATATCAGGGGTTTCTTCTTTATACAGATAGAACACCATTATTGGTGTGAGACCCATAAAAAAATTGATCACTGATTCACACAGACAATAGCAATTTATTATTTCAGAGTTTTATTTGATTCTATTACTGTATCCTCTGTTGTTTTACCATTTCCCTTTTTTTATTTCTGAGGAGACCAAGCCGTAAATAGACCAAGGCATTTGTCCTAACCAGACTAGCGTAAGTATAAAAAATTTTCGTTATCTGCTAATAAGTCAACAAGCCAATGATAACGAATCCAAATAGAAGCGCGCCTACAATGTTGCAACGGTGTAAATAACACAGATTCTACCAAATATTCAAGTCTGAGATACTATCTTTAGAACGATACAGTCAAGCATTTGAAATTGTTGTGGTGATCCCTCTACACAATCCATTAAACGACGATCGTTACAACATTGCGGGAATCTAAAAACAGCGGAAAGCGAAACTCAAAAAAGGACTTTTGTATCTCAAACATTTGCAGAGCATTCTGTTATCCCAGGCTAGACCGTCATTACTACTTCTTTCTCCGTGATGCCCTCTGTCTTGTGACGTGACTCTTGTCTTAGTCCCTGCAAATGCGTAGCAAAACATCAGCATCAAACTGTATTGACTTATTTAGGGACATGCTGGTTACATGGCAGGTAATCATGGAAATAGAGATATTTCTTTGTGAATAAACACCACTAGAATCAAAGCGAGACCACCCTATACAATGGAAATCTTACATATGTACTAATGGATTCATGAGAAGTTGATTATCTAGCTTTTATCCTAAAAGTTGAAACTATTAGCTGGAGAATTATAAGACCTATGATTCCAGAAGATTTACGCATACGCTACTAAAACGAAAAAAACTCTATCTTTGCTACATAGCCTACATTCAATTATACCCACAACCATTACGCATCTATTGAACAAAATAGGCCAAGTATCAAAGACAATATAACAAAGTAGACTGGAAGAAAATTACTTACCAGTACTTAATCAAGCCGTCCCATCCACAAGTTGCGACTTTGCTCTGTTCCAGAGGATGCCATTCCGCACCAATGCATACACCATTGTGACATCTAAGAGTCTTGAACACTTTGCAGCTCTTCCAGTCCCAAAACCAGCACTTACCCTCACCATCTCCCGACATTACAAACCTTCCATCCGGCGAGAAATTAACTTGGCATGCATAACCAGCCACAATGTGCCCCGCAAACCTCTTCTTCTTATTCAGCTGAAACCTCTCCCTGGTTCCGTAGATCAGAATCTGGTTGTCCAAGCTCTGCGCCGCAAGCCACTTCCCATTAGGGTGAACAGAAATCGCAGGCATGGAGTGCATATGAGGCTCACTGATATACTTGATAACAACCGGTATCCCAAACTCCCACACACGGAGAGACTTATCATCACTAGACGTAACAAACCTTCTGTTATTATCCACAAACGTGATCGTATTAACCGCACCCAAATGCTGATCATACTCTTGAGTAATCTCCCCAGAGTTAATATCCCACTGCACAATCTTCTTATCACTCATCCCCGCCAACAAAATATTCTGCTTGTCATCATCAGGATTCAGCTTCACCACGTAAGGAATCTTCCCCGTAGAGAAAGTCGATATAACTTGACCAGTCTCCGTATCCCAATACTTAATATTCTTATCATACCCAGCAGTCAGAAACTTAGTCCCATCGTTAGAGAAACAAATATCCCTCACAGCTTTACCATGACCCATATAAGTCCTCATACACTTACCAGAGTTATACACATCCCAAATCTTAACCTTGCAATCCATCCCCGCGGAGAGAAGCAAATGCCCCTGCTTTGGGAAAAACCTAATAGCAGAAACACCTTTCGTGTGACCGCTCCACGTATGAACCAAACGCTTGGGAATATAACAATGATCGTTATTAGCCTTTGCGTCTTTAGGAGGTTCAATCCAAGACCTCCCTTGATAATCTTTATCCTCTTTACCATGGAAAGTGCTCTTATCCGCGTAATGCTCTCCTTTAGCCTCTCCCTGTTGACTCTTCTCTTCCTTCTTCTTGGCGTGATCCTCCGCGTACTTCTTCTGCTCTTCGGTCAACTCTCCTTGAACAACCTCCTTCTTCCTCGACCAAGGACTCTTCCTATTCTTCAACAGCCACGCCTCCGTCGCGGGATTCTCCGCCTCCGCCTCAACCTCCTCCTTCTTCTCCTTCTCCTCAACTTTCCTCCTCTTCTGATCACTCTGCTTGATGTTATAAACCGAAACTCCTTCGTTATCCTTCAACGCCGCCGCGTCGCCGACGTAATTCAACCCGGAAGGATCCGCCGCGTAACCGAACTTCTGGAACGTGCTGTACTGTTCGTCGAAGACGAAGGATCCGATCGACGCGTCTTCCACAAACCCTAGCTTGTGGTTACGCATCCCCTGAGCGATTCCGTCTTTGGCGTAAGGGTGGGCGGGGCCGTAGATCGGAGCCCAGAGCTGGTCGTAGGTAGGGTTGAATGCGACGGCGTGTTGAGTAGGGTTGATTGGGTTTGATTTCGATTGGTTCGAGGTGGAGACGGTGAGAGCGAGTGCCGTGTCGTCTACCTCTGGGGCGGATGATTTCGCCTTTAACATACGAGGAGGTGAAGATTCCGGTGAAGAAACGGTTTCTCCGTCGTAGGATTGAATCAGATCCATCTTGCTAGATTTGCGCCCACTGTTGTGATGTGAGAGAGTCTTTTTTAAGGGTTTCGAAATTGGATTTTGTTGTAATTTTGTGAGAGTTGGGAGATGAAACCCTAATGTTTGTTTGGTTTTCGGATTTACCCCGATTTTGTGTGTTTGTTTGTTTATTTACGTCCCTTTGTCTTTTTGGATAGTTAAATTTTGGCCCATACTCTTAGATTGCTCTTTCTCTCAGTCACATATCAAATAGAAAACGACCAAGATGCGTACCAATTTAAAATCACACCAAGTCAAACCGAATTAAACCGGAAGCAACATTTAAGGTTTCTTCTGTTGACGGTGGTGATACATGGCCAAATATGTGTTTTTTTTTTCTTCTTTTTTCTTTAACCTTAAGAATATCTCAGATTTATGAAAAATTCAGACTAATTTTAAAAAGATGGTATAGTCCATAGATGAACTCTCACTTTTAATATTCAAATAGGCCATAAGATAATTTATATTCATCTGGCTACAACATACGATGTAGTGGAGTATCTCAGAAGACAAATGATGATTTATTCATCATAGTTCAAAATGTTTTCTCATAATGAACTTTAATAATAGAAATAGAATAAGGTTAGTTTAGCTTTTTAATACTCATCTTTTGTTTAAAACAATTTAATACATTTGAACAAATACACCCTAAAAAGTCAAAATATGTTTTTTTGACTAAAGGCTTTTTAAAAGTAAAAATATTGCGACTTCGTTATCAATAATTCAGGATACAACATTGATAATGCTATCAGAAGATGATATCCCTTAGTCTCTCTTCAATCCTTACGGGATCGATGCCGATCCGACATATGATGGCCTGCAAATATTCATTTTTAGGTGATTACTTACGTACATGCATAAACAAAACTATGACTAAAAAGAACGTGACACTGACACACATGCATGTGCTTGTGAGTGTACATATACATATGTGTGGATACGTACTAATACGTACCTGAGCTGTGATTGTGTAAGTGATCCTATCGTTCAAGTTCTGAAGATTAGCACTCATAACTTCAGCTCCTTCTTCTTCAAAAACGCTTACAAGCTCATGCAGCGATACTCTTTTCGTGTTCACATCCATAATCAGATTCATTTTTATGATCGAATCTTGTGAATAAATACTGAGTTTCGGCAGAAGGGACGATGACTCTTCAGAGTGATTCACGACTTCTCCTAACAAGGTCTTTTTCTTCTCCCTCAAATTGCTTACCTTCTCTTTTAGTTGGATCATGTATGATGCCGAATGGTCTATAAGTTGAGGCACCGATAACTGTTAGAGCCAACAAAAAATCCTAAGTTCATTACTTTCATATATATGTTTGCATGAATGTGTGTTATTTAGCTAACTAAAAGCCTAAAACGTAAAGTTACAATAAGTGATCACTTGTTTGTAAGTCTGGACTATATGAGAAACATACCCTATGAGTGGGAGAAACATGAGAAGAGAGTATAGAGAAGAGATGCTTCATGTGCATTCGTCGCTTTTTCTCTCTGAGGTTTCGCTGTTCCTTCCACGACGACATTGAGCTTCCTTCTCCTAATTCTCTTACCCTCTGCCTCCTCATTATATATTTTTGTTTTCTGTATGCTCTTATTATGTTACTATGTTTCTCTCTTTTTAAACCCATCTCATCACTCTATATATATAAAGATAGAGAGAGCGACAGATGAGAGTCACAAATCTCAATTTTGATAGAAAGAGCTGGAAAGTTTAAAGGAAAGTGATGTTTCTTCAGTGAAATTCATGGTACACGTGATTGCGTCCATGAGCTTACACACTACTTATAATAACGTGCTTAATTATTCTTTTTCACTCTACAAAGTAAATTTTACTTTTCACTCTTAGAGGTTAGATAGAGATACTAAAATTTTCGGAAAATAGATTATTTATTTGCCAAAGTAAACTATATGGTTGGAGACATTTCCATGGTGTTTTTTATCCAGTGATAAGCTGCTAGAAAGTATATATAGTAGATTTGTACAATTTTTTTTTATCAAAGACCATTTCAATGACATATTAGTCAGATAATCATAGACAAAAAAAAAAAGAAAAATTCATTACAAAGTAGTACGTTTATTCAATCGACATATTAAGGAAAGATTGTTTTGTATTTCCAATATACAGAAAAATAGACACCACAACAAATCAATTCCATGTTCAGTTAATAAGGTGCACATATTTATTATCTGATCACTAATTTGAAAAGCTAAGACTATTCAACATATACAAGGAAAGACACAAGCCATAGTTGTCAAAAAAAGGACACAAACCATTCCCTACATAAATTAAGGACTATAGCATGCAGTTTTTGGCTGTATTGCCGACATCATTCTCCTTGTGAAAATTCGCAGTGACGTACCTGGACGAAGTAAATTACTATAAATTCAATGTTATTAATCTACTAATAATAGGAATCCCAATTAATTCTAAAGGTTGTGTGTTTTTATAGGGATCTCAATTCTTGTTAAAAGTTGTGTTTGTTCAATAAAGTATCTTTTTCTCAAAGGTTGTGTCTCTTCTTTGATAAAAGTTGTGTTTGTTCATTAAGGTGTCTTTTTATTAAAAATTATGTCTCTTATTAAAAATTGTGTTTTTTTTCATTAATCCTTATTAATTCAAAAGGTTGTGAATCTCCATTAAATTAAAAGATTATGTTTTTATTTTAATTTTTTTTTTTAAATTACGTTGAAATAATGTACCTGTTCAAAAATTAGTTTATTTGAAAGAATGTGTTTATTTTTCAAAAAAAATAATTTTTTAATTTTTTTGAAACAATGTATCTGTTAACAAGTTAGTTATTTTGGAAGAGGGTATCTGTGTTAAAAAAGAAGGTATCTATTCAATAAATATATATGTGGATATATATATATATATATATATTTGAAAAGATTTATTAATAGAAAGTTGTGACTATTCATTAAAAAAACTGACTATAATTTGAAAATATGTAGCTTTCGAAAGAATTCTTTGAGTCTCTATATATTGTATGTTTACAAATTCTGAAACTAAAATTTTCACAATCTAAAAAAATGGTGAAGAATAAAGATTCTGTAAAGTTAACTAAATACAAATTATTAGAAGATATTCAAATGAAATGTTCATAATTAATTCTTAAGATTGTCTTTTCATTAAATTTTGTTTATAATTTTTTATTTCTAAAAATAGCAATCCTAATTAATTCCAAGAGTTGTGAAGTTGAAAGGTTATGTATTTTCAACAATTAAAAGTTGTGTCTTTTTATTTTAAAAGTTGTGTGTTTTATTTGAAAATAACTGTATATATTGAAAAAAATATGACTCTATATATTGAAAAGTTGTGACTTTTCATATAAGTATTATCTATATATAATAGCAAAACATCAGTATTTTTTATAGGAAAATAAAATGATGATCTTAACGGTTCAAATTGATTTGGTATTTTAATCTAAGGGTTCTGTAGAAGATGTCATCTTTTGTTTTAAATAGAAGCTTTGTGTGTTGGTATAGGTAGCGAAGCATTGTGTTCGTTCGTAAATGGAGTTGTGACTCCTCATTCGCATCTCTTCCTCAGTATATATTTGATAATCAGTTTGCTCCTTTTATTCAATAATCGGAATTGTGACTGATTAATGTTCCATTGTTTTATTGACAAGAAGAAACCGGGGTACAATCGCCTCCAGTGAAGAGTTTATGTTTCTTGAAAAATTGCTCAAATACCAAATTTGAGAGAACGATAAAAGACAAATACAAACTATCTGGTCATTATAATTACAAACTTAACTAATAATAAATTCATCTTCTAGACACCATCGAAAACAGCCATCTTCTTACAAGACAATCTTTTAAAGTATATTATTAGTTCTTCCCAACAGAAGCTTTGTGTCGGTAGTGAACCATTGCATCCGTTAATGGGGTTATGACCCTTGGTTCACATCTCTTCCTCTGTTTATATCTGATAACTAATTTACTATCCCTCTTTTTCTCACTTTTTTTTT